TTCTTGGCGCCATGTCGGCCTCACGGGATGCCAACAGGTTGTTGCCTTTTTTCTCATTTTTTTTATTTTTATATTTTGCAAGATTTCTCACGACCCACGTCTGATCGAACACGCGGCCACCACGACACGACCACTTTGACTTTCGATTGTCCTGGCCACCATGGCACGATCACCGTCTATTTTCGTTAGATATTGGGATATGTCCCACAGATTGCGTCAATTTGATGCGTGAAAAATATCGACTCACCAACATGCCTCATCCTGATCACCTCGTCTTGTGAACCGGGTCAACATGCAAAGCGATGCCTCATCTTGATCACCTCGTCTTGCGAACCGGGTCAACCTGCAAAGCGCCGGGGGTAGGGTCCCGATGTAGACACTCCGACGCTCAAGTCAGAAGACTAATATCTTAAACTGTACTCTAACTGAATAGAGCTTATGTTAGAAATTAAACTTGGATCCTTTATTTATAAGAACCTTAATGACTTACTTCCCAAGACATAGTGTTTCCCTAATAACCAAGGATTCTGATATTTCATAATAACTGTATAGATATACACCAACTTACTTAAATATCTTTTAGGAATATTTACTATATCTTTATAGGTATTTAACCAACACCATGTGTTTGTCCCATTTTTTTGCATTTTTCGTGTTTGTTTTGTCTTTCTTTTTCCCCTCGTTTTAGGAATATTTACTATATCGTCCGGTCGTGTCTCGGTTTTCTCCGCTTTTGTTTTCGTTTTTGGTGTGCAGGTCAAGAGTTTTTGGAGGATTTATTTTCTAGGTTTAATTGGTCGTGCGAGCAATATTAATTAGAGGAGTTCATTGGCGATAAGCAGGAAAAAACGGAATCAAGTTCCGAGTCCAAATGAGCTCGAACGAACCCGAGTTGCGAAGTCGTGCACGGAAGTCGGCAGCCCCAGACTGCCGCGCCAGACTCTCGCGCCGTGACACCCGTCACGGGCCTTCAGAGGGACCTGCTCGCTGGTCACGCCGCGACACAGCACCACGCCGCGGCAACATATGCCTGTCACGCCCGCTAAGCACGCCACGCCCGCGGCACCATTCCATGCTCCGCGCCCGCGCGCCCTGCCACGCCGCGACGCTGTTGTAGTTATTTTTACAGGAGTAGAATTGAAAGATTTGAACACCGGGTCGTATCTCAAGGAAGGTTGGCTAGATTAATTTGTACGGATATTCAGTCACACGAAGAGAGCAAACACGTTCTAAACACTCTAATTCGATTGTTTATAGTTTCAACTAGCAACTAACGATTCTTAACAAGTAATTCAAATCTCACAACTCAAACACAATTCAAATAGCAATAAAGAGACTAGGGTGTCGGGGACAATCGTTTCCGGTTCTACACACATTTAGCGAGCAATCAATTACTCGGATAAAGAGTTCGAAACACTAATTGATCAAGAGGCTCATTCTCAATAACTCACGTAACAAGAGAATAAACATAAACAAACAAACATTGAATCAATTAACACATAGACAATACGTTTTCGAACAAGTCTATTCTAAACGAGCCAAGATCGATCGATTTCTCCCCTTTCGGTTCTAAAATCGATTAACTAGATTAGGATGGTGATCAATCATCTAACCCTAGAATTAGCACAACTCGCAAAGACAGAGCAATCAACATACAAGTAAACGAAAACGAACAAGAATAAATATCCCCTAACCCTAGTTATTGAATCCAGCCACTCATTGCAATTTCAACACAATAATTCACAATCAAACAAGCCATCATATTCATACACAAAATGAAAAGAAGTGCTTACGATTAATAATGAATCCAATGTCGAAAAACAACGAGCAATCCAAATCTAAAGGTAAAATCTTGGAGTTTTCACTATCCAAGATCAAATCTAAGCAAAATCAAGTGAAAATATGTTTTTGGGAGTGAAAAAACGAAGTACAAAGTCTGAGAATACTCTAACATATGCCCTAGGTTCGAACTGATAGCTTCCCCAATTCAAAACCCATGAAAATCGCGCCTGTTGTAAAACAGACCTTAGCGGCGCTAACGTGCCTTAGCGCCGCTAAGGCATCTTAACTGATCGAGTCTGAAGCCGCTAAGGAAGATAGCGCCGCTAGCCTGGCTGACCTTAGCGGCGCTAACGTGCCTTAGCGGCGCTAACGTGCCTTAGCGGCGCTAAGGCTCTGGCAGTCCAAATGTTGCTTTTCTTCGGCTCGCGTGCTTGGCTAGCGTTGTGCCCGAGCTGGAAACTCGATCTCTGCATGTTTGGTCGCATGAACTGGGGTGAAACACCTGGGAACCGAAACGACCTGAAACCACAAAACCAGAAAAACACGAAAAGCAAGAAAAACAGGGAGAAAAGCAAAGAAAATACTAAACATACCAAAATAAAGATAAAACACGGGAAACGACTAGACGGACCGGTAACACCTAAGAAACGACCTAAAACGGTGGGAAAAACACACGCAAAACACCAACAAAAATAGCAACAAGAATGGGACAAACAACTCCCCCACACTAAAACCTTTGTTCGTCCCGAACAAAAAAACACGAAAAGAAAAGAAAAGAAAACAA